TTCTTTGCTCGAATGTTTCTTGCTTGATTATTTCTCAGTTAATTATGATCAACTTCATGCTTCGAATAATTCCAATAGTATACCTTCTCCATTTCCTACTACTCCTTCGTCTGCTATTGATGTTGATCCATTTCAAACAGTCGATCCATTTGCTTCTCAATCTGATATAGGTTCACCTACAGCAATCATAACAAATAATGATTGGTTTCAATCAACAAATAATGGTACGACAACAAATGATCCATTTCTTTCTAAAACAGAAAATACACCAAAAAATGATAAATTTACACCAAAATCAAATGTTAAACAAATACCAGCAGTTGATCCATGGGGTACATCAACAAGTACAAATAATGGAAATAGTTGGGCAGCATTTAATAATACAAGTTCACCATTTGGTACAACTAATGACTGGCCACAAGCCCCAACAAATGGAAATTCATCATCTGGTTAGAAAACATTTAATAGAATAATTTTATTTTTATGTATTTATTTAGATACAGTTCAATATCGAGCATTATATGATTATGTACCTGAACGTCCAGATGAAATAGCAATAACTGCTGGAAATATCATAACAGTAAGTTAATTGAGATACTTTCTTATTTTATTAACAAGAAAAAAACTAACAAAAAAAGCCGACTTTTAGAAAAAATCCAACGAGGCAAGTTTATTCTTTTATTGAAATTTTAGCATGACAATATTATTGAGCACGTTCAATATTCTTCTTCTTTTGCACGTTCAATTTTTTTGTTTTATTTAAATAAAAGATTACAATCTTTTCTCTTATCTATAAAGGTTGATCCAACACAACAACAAGATGAAAATTGGTTATTTGGAAAAATTGGAAATAATAAACAAGGATTTTTTCCAACTGCATATGCTGAACGTATTCCGTAAATATTTTAAAATTTGGATAATTTTTATTACAGAATGCATTTTCATTTTATATTCTATAGATCAACACCAACATCTACTAATGGAAATAGTATTGATACAACTTCACTATTAACAGTAAAAATAAAAATGAATTAATCTTCAAATAAATTGATTAAATATATTTTTAGTCGGGATCATGGGTGATGACATTAGCAGATTATCAAGGAAAAACAGTCGATAAACATTTATCATTTCAAAAAGGTGAACTTATTCTTGTACGTGAACAAAAAGATACAACTTGGTATAGTGGACAACTTCGCGGAAAAGTAGAAACAATATTTTTGTTAACTAAAGATAACAAACAGTAGTTCTTCTTATATTTAGATTGGATGGTTTCCAAGAAATTATGTACGACCAGCAAGTGAAATAGAAATACAAAATAATAAAAATACAACGAAGTAAATAAAGAGATTTCATAGAAGTATTTACAATAGAGAAATCTGATGATTATCGATGAAAAAGTTTTTCTGTATGTATACATAAGTAGTCTTCGTGATGTTAAGCAATAGAATACTACAATCATACTTCTCGTTCTGTATACATACAATAATAAATGAAAGATGAAAATCGAATTCGAGTGTTCATTAACTATTGCAATAGATAGTTTAAAATATACTTTTTATAATTATTTATGAGATCTTTGATACATTTGCAATTTTCATTACTGAATTATTCTCATGAATTATATGTTTAGAAATACATCTTCAAGTCCAGTTTCATTGAATTCACCAGCTTCATCTAATGGTACTTTCTCCAATGACAATAGCATCGGTAATATATGTTTTCTTTTCTGTTTACTAAAAACATGATTTTCCTATGAGTAAAATTCAAAATAAGTGAGATAGAAAGGGTCAAATTCTAATTACTATTTAGCATTACGTCAAGCACCAACTGCACCAACAATACGTAAGTGTAAAATTCGTTGGCCAAATGAAATGATTCAATTCAATGCAGTGTCTCCCTTTCGCCTCTTTTTCTTTATTATTGGTTACGGGAAAAGCAAATATTATTGTTCTAATTTTCCTTCTAAAATTAAATAAAAACATCCATGATTTTCGACTGCTTTTTATTCGCCCATTATTTTAAATCATTAAAATAACAGCTCTTTATATTTTTGCTTCTTGTTAAAATTCAACAAAAAACATAATTTGCATGTATTCTTTCGTCCTTCAAGGATCGATTTAGTTCATTTTAAAATTAAAAATTTCGTTTATTTAGCTGATGTTTATATATCAATTTATCCATATGAAGCAACTGATCCAGCTGATTTATCATTTAATATTAATGAACGTATTATTGTATTAAAACGTGAAGGTGAATGGTGGACAGGAAAAATTGG